TTCCAAGAGGATGCAGAAGAGGGGAAAAACACAGGGAAAATAGAAAGGAATGGGAGGATGAGTGTGTTGGGGCTGTTCAGTGTCTGCCTGTGGGACCTTCTGTTAGGACAGGAAACAAGTGTCTGCTGGTGTGCCAGGATCAAGCGCCCAGCACTGCTCCAAGAAAGCCGGGAAGGCTCAAAACCAGCCAGGAGTTTCCTGTGCCAGTTGGCTGATGATAGGTGCAAAAAACTCACATGGCTCCTTCACCCCACTCCTCTCCTTTCCCAACCCCAGCCCTTCCCAAAGACACCACAAAGGATTAAGCTGTAGTTTGCTGAGCTAGTGGATGATGCAAGGCACTTCCTTGTGAGAAAAGCAGCCTCAGAGAACACTCAGATACTCAGCCCAGGTTTCTGCCTCCTCCCAGAAGTCTCCACAGAGTTCTTGTTCCTTTTGGATATTCAACAATGTATTCGTAAAACCTGGACCAAATTACAGCCCATTACCCAATCCAGCTTGTTCCAAATCCCCTGCATTACTGAAATCAATAAGGGGAAGCCAGCTCATATCACAGCTGGGACCACGAGCCAAGCATGTCGTTCTCAGCCCTGCTACAGGTTCCCTCTCACACACACAGGCTCACTCCTGTTCCCTCATGCAGTGCAGGATGCCACATTTCTGCCAACCCACAGGATGCAGAAATCAGAATGGAGTTTAAGAAGAAAAAAAAAAAGCAAAGAGGGGGGAAAGGAAAAAGAAAAAGGAAACCAAAGGCTTTGGGTGCAGAGGAAATCTTCAGGCCGTGCTGGAATGTAGGTTCTAATTAGAACTTGTTTAACCCCCCCAGGATTACAGGTTGCAGATGCAAACTGACTGCAGATGCAAGAGGTGATCCCTGAAGCGAAGACAGCAGTGGAGGTGGGATAGGGAGGCAGCATCCCTCCTGCTGCACCCAAGGGCAAGGAAGGAGGTGGGAGACAGCAGCAGAAAACCCCTGCCCTGGCCAGGCTGCTGGCAGCACAGCAGGCTCTGGTCTGCACTGTCCTGCCAGCGTGACAGCTTCCCTTGCCAAGGGCACCACTAAGGAAGACATCAGCAGCTTGCAAGCTGCTCATAGTGACTGCTGGATCCTCTCTGTTTTGGTCTGGTTATTTTACCCGCTGCTGTAACACCCTTAGAACTAAGGAAACATTTAATCACGCCTACCAACTCTGCTGCAAGAAGGAATTTTAGAGAATAAAACAGAAGGACCAAACCAGAACTGCAGAGAGCGTTGAGGTCTTTCAGGACTGCCAGGAACCAAAGGTGTCAGTTTGAATTGCATTGACAAGAAGTTGCCTTTTGTGCTTCTCTGCTGAACCTGCTTTGGTTCAAATGCAAGTCAGCAAGCGTGGAAGTGACTGGTTAATAGAGTTAAGTGTTTCCATCTATCCGAGGGAGCTGGAGCTTTACCTGCAGTAGCTTCTGTGTAGCGCGGTCACTGAGAGCACCACTCCTGGAACCGCAGTGCCTGGGCAGGCACAGGAGTTAAATAATCCCCCAGAAGTGATCCCCTGCCTCAGATGATGGGAGGAAGGTAGCTCATGGGGCAAGGGTGAGAGGCTCCATGCAAGCGAGCCAGCTGCAGCAGAGCTGGGGAGGAAATCAGTCTCTTCATGTGATTTCAGCCAACTTTGCCTTTGCAGTGAGTTGCTGTGACCTGGCAAAGCAAGAGAATGAAAGAGTGGGTTCAGGTGGGTGCCCACTTCCCTGCACAGGGCTCTCCACCATGCTGGGGGGCTGCAGCTGGGGGAAAGCAAGCAGAAATACAAGTGCTTTGCAGCAAATCTCATTTTCTATAGAGCTCTTCACCTGGCTTTGTGGCCTCCAGGTTAAAAGTGACAACAGCAGTGCAGGCTTGGCCAGTCAGCACTAAAAATACATGCCCCATTAACCCAGTTGCATGCCCAGGAGTGAGAGGGAACAGCAATTCCCCTCCATTTCCCTCAGCAGCAATGTTCTCCGGTGACCCCCTGTTCCTCCTCCCCATAAGGAGTCGCAGAACAAATGCTCAGCACGCCAGGACATCTGCCAGGAAAACATCATAAAACGTAAACCAAAGCTTGCTCCCTAAAAGCGCAGCTTCCCTCGCTTTCTCTTACATTTCCTTTGCTGTGCTTCCACTTGCTTTTTCCCTCCCTACAGGCGGCAGCAAGCTGCTCCTTTGGCATTTTTAAAACCCTGTGGGTTGAGGCTGTAGGGTCTGATGGAGGCTTGTCTAGCATGCCCGTCACCAGGCCCCTGGACACAAGGGAGGAGACAGAGACTTCCAGGGCTGTGGGACTTCAAAACATGACCTGCAATGGAGTAGTTTCTTCTGACACCCAGCACATCCCGGCTGCCTCCCCAGTGCTGCATGTAACAAGATGGGAAAAGAACTAATTTCTAGGAGGGGAATCACCTCTGCAGGCACCTCCTGTGCCATCCTGGTCCCTGCTCCCCTCTGCTGCACCCCATACGTGCATTTTTTCATAGCCCCCACTCTTTTTCAACCACCACGGCTTGTCAGGCCTCATCAAGAGAGACAGAGGGAGAAAAGAGCTGTAAAGAGAGATGAGGGGCACTTGGAGCAGAGCTGGGAGCATATCAGGAGGGAGCCAGCACTGCAGAGGGGCACATGCATGCCTGGGCTGTGCTGCCACTTCTGCACGAAGCACTGCTAAGTTGGATTCAGTTTACATTACATACCTTGGTCCATCGAGGGGATACAACAGGGAAGGACAGGGTAGAAATAGAAATAATAGAAATAGACTGGACTAGACTAGACAAGAGTGGAATATTTTCAGTTGCAAGAGACCTACAGTGCTCATCTCCTCCAACTGCCCAGGAAATACAAAATATTCAGTTGATTACCAGTGTTTTCCTTCAGCCCATGGGAGCCAAGTTCAAGTTCCCAACAAGCATGTGGGAAAAAGGCTGTGGGTACTTTTCTTGCTCTCCCTTCTCACTGAGCTGGCAGCTCTCCTACTGCTCTTATCTTCCACCGAGCAGAGTGCCCAATGGTTCCTTTCCAGCAGGAGAGCTGCAGCTGGAGGCCCATGTGTGAATAGTAGATGCACAAACAGCAAAGGAGCAAAGCATGAGGCCATGGCAGAAGCCTCCCCATAACTGAAAAATGGTGTTGTGGATGGAATGGTGGAGCATCTTTTTAAGTAGAATACAAATGGAGAGGATAATACAAATACACAAAGCGGCCTCATCATTTGCTTATTCCTGGGAGTGGAATTCCCCTCATGAGGCTCAGTGCTGAACTCAGAAATCATTTGCCTTCTGCATAAGGGCATCACAGAGTTTCTGCATGCGCTGGGGACCTCTCTGCACATCCCAGAACTCTCGGGTGTCATCTGCAGCCGATACAAGGGCCCTGATTTGTGACTATGGCTCCAGTTCAGAAGAGCTTTTGTTTTCTTGCTGTCACTTCCAGGAGATGAGGCTTTCAGTGGAAGAGGGGTGTCTTATTTTATATTGATGACTGCAAAGATCTCTTCCTTTCTTAATGCAATAAACTAATAAAAGTTGACAATAGCATCTGTTCCCAGGGTTTAATCTGCATATAGATCAGGAATGTGGTGATTCCAGCAGGAGGAAACCAGATTTTGATGAAAGAAGATAATGCAGGGAAAAAAAAAAATACAGAAAATAAAGCAAGGAGAGGCTGAGGCCATGACAGTAATGGGAGATTTAAAAACCTACATACTCTAAATCAGATTGAGCTCAGATCATACCTGGCTCTCTGCTCATTGAGCGGGACACAAAGAATTTCGTCATGTGCTGGGTTTTTTGGGGAGGTCCTGCCTCCCATCTGCTTTAGTCTTTGCTCCCCAGTCACGTCCCCTGTGTGAATGCTGAGGGGGGAGAAGACTCTGCTTTACACTAGCTCCAGCTTTGGGTTTCTTCCCCTTTGTAAGCAAGCAAGTTCAGGGTGAGACGTGGTATCGGACAGCCTGTCCAGGGCTCAGGGTGGGAACTTGGCACTAAACACTACTGGGCCAAGTGCTGCTGTGGAGGAGGGAGAAGCAGCAGGCAGGGGCAGAAGAACTCTGAAGCAGAAGCTGACAAACTACATGCCCATGGCTGTGGAACGCTATGGAGCAGCTTTATATCATTCCGTCTCTATCTTAGAAGGTCTCTTTGCACCAGGCAGTCTTGTGAGATGCTTCTGTAATTCTTATTTAATCCCAGAATGGTTTGGATACCTAGAAAGGCAGAGCAGAAGTTTTCCCAGACAGCATTTTCCAGCATCAACGCTTGCGCTTGGTGGAGCTGGTTGGCCTGTTGTGCATCAAACACCTTGGCCTCCCTTAAGGGTCCGGTGCGATGAGACAAGTGCTGGTGGTCCTTTCTGCCTGGAAAGACCTATGGCTATCTTCCTAGTATGGCCTAGTCTAATGTAAGGCATCCCTACCCATGGCAGGGGGGTTGGAACTAGATGATCTTAAGGTCTTTTCCAACCCTAACTATTCTATGATTCTATGATACATAAAAGCTGTCACAGACCTTCAAACCCATTTCAATAGCATCTTGTGCTGTGCAGGACGGAGCCTCCAGTGCTGCCTCCCAGCCAAGAGTCTGAGCCCAAGTCTGGATCTGAGACCTGGCCCTTTTCCTGGGCATGCAAGGCAGTGGGGGGGACTGCTGGGCTCTTCAGTTTGGCAGAGCAGAAAGCGTTTGTGGTGATAAAGCACCCCTCGCTCAGAGAAGCCCCTCCCCATCTTTCCCTTCTTGCACAGGGCCCTGATTTCCTTCTGCTTCCTAGAGTTTCTCCGGGAAGCCTGTGCCTGGATAAATGCTCTTTTCAGAAATGAGTAGTCCCAGGTGGTGATGAAGTTCCTGCTGTGACAGTCCCATGGCTGGAGACAGGAAGGACTTGGGGGCTGCGGTGCTGGTGTGACTGGGGGGAAGGAGCTGGTGTCTGGGTGCCAGCCAGCACCGCACCACCGCCTGCTGGCTCCCCTCCTGGCATCTGAAACATGCCCCTCTGGCTGCTTGCATCATCACGTAGAAGAAATGACCTCACAGGAAGGACAGCAGCAGAAACTGAGGAGCCAGGTGATGGCTTCAGAAATATTGCGGTCATTTTCATGCAAATGGCCTCGGTGGTGAAGAAGGAGGGGGGAGAGGAAAGCACAGAGAAAACTGATGTGTCGGCAGAATTGTTTCTATACAGAATATTTTTCAAAGACTTCAATAAGGCAACAGCAGCATTTGAAAAAGGGAGTATGAACAAAGAAAACACAGCTGCATCTTCATTTCTGAAAGGAAAGAGGTTGGGTATGTGGCTATCAATCTCGGCTGGGCGTGGGGTGAAACATCAGGGACAGATTGGGGCAGATAATGTATGTATTTTTCCGCAAATATTTGATGGTTCAGATTAGTTTGCTTTAGCTGCTTGTTCCCCCTTTTGTGTTCCCACTCCACAAACATTAGCACTATCAACTTTTACTGGCAAGAGTGCTCTCAGTGGGAGATTTCAACAGCTGATTCATTGAGGATTTGCAGGAAACAGAATTTTAAAGGGAAATTTGCATTGTAAGTGCTTTTCACGTTCAGCTAATCAAGGCGCACAAACAACACCATGAGACTTTTACGGCCAATTACAGCATAGCTCAAATATTGGCGATGGAGCCAGGGGTTAGAAATTCCCCGTCAGACGTTCACCCTGTAGATGGGAGGCACAGATGCCTTGGGCTGATGTGGTGTGGTGTGTTCCCAGAGCCAGAGACCCAGGGACTGGACTCAGGGGGCTGTTTGGGATGGATGAAGGTGGCTAATGGGGTGCACGCTGCCACAAAGAGGAGCACAGAGAGGCCTGGAAGTGCTGAGGGACGAAGCTTATTCCTGCCCTGCGAACAGCCAGCACTGTCAGTGCAGCCTTGGAGAAGTGCTGGCTAGAGACAAGGCAAAAAATTCAGAGAAGCATCCAGCAGCTCAAATGGCTATCTTGAACCCGTTTGATCTTGAACTCACACAGAAAACTATTGCACAGAAGTTCTCCCATGATGTTTGCACCCCATGGTGATTTTTGTTGGATTTTCAGACCCCAGGAATTGTTCCTGACTTTCCCAGCTCAGTGTTTTCATTTCTCAGTCTGGCCCAAGGCTGAGGAACAAAAAGGCCTGGGGGAAGAATATTAAACAGGATCTACAGACTTCTAAAAGTGTCCTCGCATGGAGGTTCCTGACCTGTGCAATGGCTCAAGTTAAGGCCTGGGGAGGGAGTTATAAGTCTGACTTTCTATCCTTTATCCTTTACTTTCTCATCACCATTCAGGAAAAAGCTTGTGGTACTCTGCATTTAGTGTTTCTGGGTTTGCAGCTGTGGTGCAATGGGGCACAGCACAACATACGTAGGACACAAATCCTGCCACAGTGAGAGTGAGCGGTGTTATGAGCTGGGCATGGAGCTCCTGCTTCATTTTATCCCAAGTCTTTTTTAAATCTTCTGTTTTCCTGCTCTTACTGCACTTTCTTTGTCTTCCTTTATTTGCCCAAAACTTTTCTTCTTTGGAGCTATTTAAGACCGAGTTCCAAAGGGTCTGTACCATTTCTTTCAATTAACCTTCATATCAAAGAGATTGCACTGTGTTCAGCAACTGTTTTTGGAGTAAATGCTAAAAAAAACCCACTATCCTGATTTTCCTTTCTTTTCTGTTATGCCTGGTGGCATCAACACATGCCTATCACAGCTCTTTCATTCCTGGAGCAGCTCCATCTCTAACACATGCTTCTTTTTTATTACTATTATTTTTTTTAATTTTATTGTGCAACCACTTATGGGTTGTTTTGTTTTGGTTTTTTTTTTTTCTGTGTGTGTTTTTTTACCTCCTTGTTCTGATTTCTTCAAAATATTTTCTCTTTTCTAACTTCTTACCCAATGGCAGCAGGAGCTCGTCTGTGCTCAGGGGAAACTTTTAAATTCCTGGGCTCTGAAAGGAGTGTGCTCCCTTTGAAGCTGCAACAGAAATTCTGGTAGAAACTGTGAAATATTTTCTTCTCCAAACGAATTTAGTGCTGTGGTATTTAACCCACACAGCAACAATAAGCCTCCCCCTCCCCAGGTTTCTCTTGGGCAGGATGAGCCATGGAACCTACAGTGGGATGGATGCAGCGGTACATGAAGCTGGCATCGGAGCAGAGTGATGGGAGTGGGAGATGTCCTGGAACAAGTCCCAGAAAACATCCATTGCTACGAGGAGCCCGCAGGTCTTCTCTTTTAAGAGAAAAACAGCAGAAAGAAAAGCTGCTGAGCATCTGGGGAAACCTGGCCACAGCTACAAGCCTGGAATAACCTGGTTTAGCTCCTACCCATGGAAATCAAGCACTGTGCATCCCAACCCCGACCCAAAGGACCAGTCACAAGAGACCCAAGTGACTGTGTCTTTCTTACAGAGCCCTTTGAGAGGTTGCAGCAGCTTTGTGAGGGAGGTCCTGCTGTGTTAGAAAATCGGTACAGGTCAACCATACAAATCAATTCTCTGAGTTAATAAGCTGCATGCAAAATAACTTCAGCTTGTGTAGGCAGCCCCATGTACAGGTTTTACTTCCTCCATCTTTCTGTAGCAGAGTAAACCACAGCTTCAGGAGGTGGCCAGGAGCAACACCAAGTGTCTGAGTGACCCTCAGAGGGGACCTCAAAGGGAGGGTGTCCCCATGGACTTGACTCTGCTAAGGGTGCTCCTGCACTCCCTGCGCACCAACTGCCCCAGTTCCCATCATGGGGAAGAAGCCCTTTCACTTGCGGAGCTTATTCACAGGGAGCATCCTGCATGGGGCCAAATAGCCCTAATTAAAGCTCTTCAAAAGCACAGGTTACTGGGCAATTTACTGTGGCAAAATTTCTGATGTTTTTAATTAAAAGTTTAAAAAAGTTGGACCTGTTTGGTCAAAGGAATTCTCTGTTGCTCTGGCCCATCGTCTGCTTGGAAATTGTTTACCTGGGCATATTTTCCCCCCTTTTAATTAAAGATGAAATAAAACACAGGTTATTTGAAAGTGGAGATAAAGACTATAAAACCCCACCTGCATTTTCTATGTGTTCCAGCTGACTGACGCACCCCTGCGGAGAGGTAAGCCTCATCACAGGGGCAGCCCCAGTTGCAGGGTCCCCCTTGCTCCATCCCCTCCTTGTCCCACAGAAGCCATATGCTCTCAGGATGCAGTGCTCCAAGGAGGACGCTGGTGTTCTCCTGCCTTGGCAGGGCATTTCTGTAGGGTCTATGGGTAAAGCCTAACACAGAGCAAGCCATGAGGTGTTTACAGGCACCCGGCAGCACCCCAGGTGAGGGGCTGCAGGAGGATTCCTAGCTCTGTTGGATTCCTAACTCTGTCTGTTGGGGAGGCAAAGGAGATAGTCCTTAGATTTGGTACCACCTGAGCTCAGCACCAGGCAGTGCCCAAGAAACCGTTGTCATCCTGATTAAAAAAAAAAAAAAAAAAAAGGAAAAGGAAAGGGAAAATTGAGAAGGAGAGGGAGAGTGAAAGGGAAAGGAAATGGGAAAGGTAAAAAGGGAAAATTAGAGGGAAAGGGAAAGGGGGAAAGAGGAAAAAGGGTAAAAAGGGAAGGGAAAAAAGGAAAGGGGAAAAGGGAAAGGGAAAATGAAAGGAAAAGGAAAAAAGGGAAAGGGAAAAGGAAAAAAGGGAAAAGGGAAAAAAAGTCAAATAAAAAGAAAATTAAAAGGAAAAGGAGAAAAACTAAAGAAAGACAGAAGATCCCTGGTAAGGTACTCAGGCCCAAACAGGTATAAAAATGGCCAACTTTGAAAAAGGCTTTTGGTTGTGTCCCTGGGACAGTGCATGAGTTCGTGGCCTGCCTGCCTTCCCTCCCTGCATGGTCCCTGGGCACTGCTGAGGGCTGTTCCCATTGAGCATCATGGGCACCCTGAACCACAGAGCTACACATCGTGGTGCCACAGGCAGCTGTGTGAGCTCTACATCTTAGCAGGAGGAAAAAGGCCTCTCAGTTCTCCTTGCAAAAAATACAGCTATTTGTGAATCCACCCCTGAGTTCTGCTAATGATGTGGGATCTCAGGCAGCTTTGTAAAAGTAATTGCTTTATTTGGGGTAAAAAGCACATGTGAAAAAAATCCTACAAGCAGAGAAAGCGTTTCGGTTGCACTCGCAGAGCATCTCCCCGAATGCTGAGCACATCGGCGGATGCTTTTATTTGTAGTTCTGATCCTGGTGCTTGTGGGAATTAATAGCTGTAGGTTTTGAAATGCAATTATAGGCTTTGCAGTGGTAATTTTGTTTTTATTTCCCACTGTGTTTGCTGCTGCTCTGTGGAGAGGAGAGGCTTTAGTTAAAACTCATGTAACACAAGAGTACCTACAATTTGTTGGCTTTTTCTGGGAACCTTTTTCTCTCCCTTCGTGGACTTCTGGTCTATGGGATGTTTTCTTCATAAATAAATGTCCGGGTCCTCGTTGGTAATAGGATACAGAAGCTTTCACCTAGAGGTCATTTGCTTAAATCCAAAGCAGCTCAGTCAAGACCAAAGGTTGTTGCAGTCTGTCAGCTCCTCAGGGGCCCATGATGGCACAAAATGCTTTGTGTGGCTGAGCCATGCTCGCCCTGGGTGGAGCTGGATTTCCACAACCCCTGGCATCTTCCCCTGGAGCTGGACGATGCTTCAGGCACGCAGTGGCAGGGGCTTTAGCCTGGCTTCATCTGCAGCCTGTGCTGGCCACAGGATTTTCCTTCTTGAGGAAGCGGATCAAGTTGTCTGAGTTTGAACGCAATTAATCAGAACCAAAACTGTCTGGGACAACATACTGGTTTCAGCACTTCCCCAGTTAGTTTGCTTTCTCCCTTATGTCATTTGAAAATAAACTTTTTATTTACAAATTTTCACAAACTGGTCCTGGAGAAAATCAAAGAGTCAGCACCAAAAATTCTAAGAAACCCCAGAATGTTACAACAAACCAGAAGTAAAAGTCTGCCATTCCCAAACAGCTCAAAAATCTGTTGAGACGGTCTCTGAGAAAATGAAGAAACAGTTGTTTCAGGTCCAAGAAACAGTTTGGAAATTATTAGGTCCAATTTTGTGGTCAGTGAAGATTTCTACTTTTTCATCCCACTAAGGATGGGAAATATCTTCAACATTTTCCTCAAAACGTGGTTGCAGTTCAGTAACCCTTGCCTGCCTGGTTTGGCATCTGGAACAGTGAGACTTTGGTGGTCAGCATCAGCTAGTGCCTGTGGTGTGACTGGAGCAGTCCCACAGTGACAGTCCTTGTGCAGAGCTGACCTGGCACTGGCTCAGAAGAGTCCCCAGAAGTAGAAGCTGGGGTTCAACAGGCAGATAGCTGCAAGCTCAGGGGTTTTGCAGAGGCAGAGGTCCAGCATGTCCCATCACTCAGAGCCTGTATCGCTTTCCACCACCACATCTCTGCAGCGGTTCTCACGGTCTTGCTCAGCAGAAATCAGTGCTGCTTGGGGAGGTGCTGGACCTCATGTAACTGCATCCCTGCCCGTACACCCCACTTCTCCATCACAGGGGAGCAGTGGCCCCATTCACACACCTGGCTGCTGTTTCCCCCTTGTTAGCATACTACAGTTAGCTGCTGGCAGGGCTTCCTGCAGCACCCCGCCGCCTGGCAGGTACTTTGTGCTGGATTAATCATGCATTACCCAAGCAGTAATTTGTGATGGTATTGAACATGTCACAGCCTGGGGAGGCAGTGAGAGCGCAGCAACTTCATTATGTGTCTCCCCGAGCTGAGCGACATGGGCTGAACGGGAAAACATCTCCCTTGTTGGTGAGGTGGCCCGTTGCCCTTGTCCAGGTGGAAACACAGGACAGGGAGGGAGCACCCCAAGGCTCTGATGGGATGGAGGCAGAAACAGACATTAAAGTTTACATTAAAAGAGCTTAAGCTTCTTCTAATTAAATATTTTTATTTTTTTCTTTATATGAGACATTTTTATCTTTCCTTCTTTCAAGTGCAAAGCAGCCCCTGAAGTCCTCTCTGGTTTGGAGGAAGAAAGCCCACCAGGAAAAGACAAGATTGGGAGGAGAGAGAATGAAGCAGTTCTAAGAGCCCAGAGGGGCAGGCAGGGATCTGTGGCTCCTGTCCATGCTCAGAAGATGCTCCAATGCTGTGTGCTCTGCAAAAAGCTCCTCATCCAAAGTTCCCAGCATGCAGCTCATTGAACAAACCTTGCCAGGTACTCCCCATAATAGCTAAACAGAACACAACAAGGTCAGACATAGCTGCTAGGAAAAGTCTATGCTTCTGTGGAAGGAGAAGGTGTGGGTACCCCCCACCTAACCCTGAGAAGCTCAGAGGCACACTGGCAAGCTCCAGCAAGGTGCTGATGTTGCCAGCCAGTGGCATCACCACAGTCCTATCTGCCTCTCACACCTCTTGACAGGGGAGTGGGGCTGTGCCAGCACTCAAGTTGAACACCAGAGAAATGAGTTAAACAGGGAAAAGCGCATCCTTGGGAGACCAAGACAGGGAAAACAGCAACTCCTCTGCACCTGATTAAACATCATAGCATTCATGGGGGTAACTAGAGTGGAGTCGTCTTCTGCCACTTGCAGTGAAACGCAGAGGAACGTCCACTGCGGGGTCGTGGGCTGACATTCCTTCTCAGTGAGGTTCCATCTGATCACTTATTCAGTCTGATTCCAACAAGCTTATACCTTGGCCCTCAGTACAGATTATTCATTGCCAAGACAATACCAACAAGATGACAATGTTTAAGTTTTGTGAATTAGATCAGTAAGGTGATAATATTTAGTTTTTATACACAAGAAAACTAAAAACACTACAATTACCTTGCACAAGACCTTGTAGTACCCTCCCGCATCTTTCCATGCTCAGCCTGATGTCTGCAAGTCTGGGGATAGCTGGAGTGGTGCCCACTGAGCATGAGCGTGAATGCGTGAGCTCCCCACAGCACCTTTAAGCATTAGTAAAAAATACATGTGTATATGGAAAGCGGTGGCAACACATATCAAGTGGCAACGTACAACACTGGGTTACAACACACAACAGAGTTTTATATGCATATAAAAAGAATATATATGGTATAAAATAACTTATTATGATTATTATTATTTTGACTCATGCTAAAACACACAGAGGAGGTGGAGTGCCTGTGCTGTAGCCCTTGGGGGGATTTACCCCCAAAGGCACTGAGACCCACTTGTGGCCTCTTAGGGTGGGATTGAGAAGATGAGAGGAACTTTACAATGTAATGGCCTCTTTTGTTCCCCAGTTGACAGCTACTAAAGACTCTTGTCTTGTTAGTACTGCCTCGATAATGAAAACCCAACACTATCCTTGGTCTATACAACACTGCTCTCTCAAGCATGCCACATGGATGCCACCTCTGCCACAAAACTTGCTGCTGGAAGCTGCCTGGCTCCATGCTGGGGACCCTGAGCGACCTGGTCCTTCGTTAAGGGTAGGAACAATTAAGCACATTTCTCCAGCCAGTGCACTGCCTTCAACTGGTGGGTTTTTAAGGTTCAAAGGCTCTCTATTTTCTCTTCTGCTGCTTAAAATAACAGGGTCAATGTATACACACTCCTCATAATAATGATAATGGGGGCTGCTGGAGAAACGCAGCCTCCAGATGAACTCAAGACACAGACAATCAACTGGAACTCGGGGGTAATTTTGGTTTCTGATCAATCTAAAATCATTTTGACCCAAGGTATAATTTAAAATGTTCCTACCTCGGTTATTATAGCCCCAGGGCACTCTTGGCTGTTTTCACGCATTCGCCCACTTGTTCTCTCTCTCTCTGCTTATAAGATCCAAGGAGCAGTTTAATGAAAAATGAGTGTGTGGCTGGAGGGGTCAATGGTTAGTCATTTTGGATTCTTAAGAAAAAAAAATAAAAATTGGATAGGATTTGGTTGTGTTCTTTTAAACGGGGGGTTTCACACTGGAGCAGACTCACAGAAATAGAAAGGCATTTATTCACCAGTCAGCTCTTCTGGCTGCCCTTTGCCTTGCTGTGTATTGCTCTCTTTTTGTCACCCCAAAGCATTGTGCCCTTTCACCTGAGCCAGGGCATCTATGGGGTGTGTCCCAAAGTTGTGGTCCCCATGGGCAAAGGAGCTATGACCTTTCCTGAGAAATAACCAAACCCTGGGGTCTTCCCAAAGGAAACTGCTCCCCCTTTTCCTCTTGTTTCCCAGCCCATTCTGCCTTCCTGGGGAACCCACCTCCCATGGGGATGGCATGGCTCAGTGGGAGATGTGAGGAAAAGGTAAACCAAAGATGTGGCCAGCAGAAGGCAATACAAAAATGAATCAGCACAAAGCAGGCTGGCGCTGGGAGGGGTGGTGGATGCTTGGTGGAGGCACAGAGGGTTTAAGGATGTCAGAGTGAGCGGTTGGCAGGATAATTATTGCAGGCGGAAAACAAAAGAGAGTGACAATTTTCCTGTGGATGGATTCAGCCCTCATGCTTCTTAATTCCCGTTGAACAAAGAGCTATAATTGTTCTCAATAGCGAGGAGGGGAAGAACCTAATTTCCAATGTGAGTCAGAGAAGCTTTCAAGCAGAGGGTGGGTGGAAACTATTTATAAAGGACCATTAGGGAAAATCAGATTTCTACGCATAGTAAACAGAACACAAAAAAAGAAATCTATTTATATTTGAGTCTGGAAACCATGTCCCATGCAGCACAATGTAACAACGGCCACAGTGTAGCCCCTGAATGCTGACACTGAGGGTTTGTCCCTCGGCGTCGCTGAAGGTTGTAGTGTATTTCTGTCCTTCGGCAGAGCTGGCAGAACAATCCGTTTTTCCCCGGCACGTGCTTCAAATGGCAAACAAACAGGATGGGGATAAGCTTCATCCTCACTGTGTTGCCTTTAGAGAGAAGGGAAAAAATATATAGTAATTGAACAATTGGTTTTGTCTGGCCAAAAAATCATGGAAAGCAAATACCAAAATCATGTGCCAAAGTAACTGTAGGAGATGAGCACCCAGTTTGCTCAACACTTGTTTGTGCAGGTAAACTTGCATCCTTCTGTAGTCTGCATTCATGCAATATTTACAGTTCTTTATTCCCAACGGAGATGAAAAAAAAAAAGAAAACCTAAAAATTAAAAGCCAATTCTAGTAATGCTGAAGAATAGCGAGACTCCAGCCATTGGGTTGTGAGAGAAGCTTGCAAGACATGCAGAATTTTTTCCTGGTAATGGATTGATTCCTTGTATATGCATCCAAGCATCTTATTCGAGTTGCAAGAGTGCTATAGCAAAAAGGAATCTGCTCAAGGCAAGGCAGAGGCTCCTGGCTGTGACTACAGGCCAGGGTAAACACTGCTTTGGCCATCAGAAGACAAGTGAGACAACGCCAGCAGCCTCAGGGAGGTTCCCCAGACCTGCTTTCCTTGGAAGAAATCCTAATTCTGGTGCAGGTCAAACCCATGAGGGTCAGACCCAGCCCACAGCTGCAGCAGGGAGCCCTCTGCTCCATGGGGGCATCCTCCAGATGATGGCCAAGCCTCCAAGTGGCAAACCACCCCTCTGGGGGCAGAGAGACAGGGACTGGGAGTCGTGGCAATACTGCAGGAGCCTGGGCTTCTCCAGATCTTCCTTTCTATTCCCTTCATAAAATGTGACTTGCAGTCTGTGGGAAGTATATCGAACCCGGGATGTTTATCTGTGATATGATTCTGCAGTCTCACTAAGCCACGTGTGCACATTTGTGGGCTAGAAAGGGAATGTATCACTGTGTAGCATCTTAACTAGAAAGCAAAATGTAAGCAAGAAAAATCCTTAGTCACAGATGAGCAATGTGGGCTTCCTCCTCTCAGTTTCTCAAAGTGGGAGTTTTCTCTAAATCCAGGCTGAGTAAGGTCTCAAGGCCAGGATAATAAAGCCATGAAATAATCTGAATGATAATCTGCTGATTAGTACCGGCTAAGTAGAATCTGCTAAGTGTCAATTTAGCAGATATCTGGCACTTTTCCTCCATTACTTTTGGAGCACTAAGCCAAGTGGACTTATTCCTGTTTTATGGGTTAGCAAATGGAAACCAGTGAGCAGAAGTGGCCACAGTTATGCCACAAGCCCGTCCCCATGCCGAGGACCATGTCTGCCTGCAGCTCTGTCCTCCGTTCTCCCTTTTCCTTCATTAACACTGATGACTTGATGATACAGACTCTGTAGAGCAAAACCCAGCTAGTGAGATGTCTGCCTTCTCCGTGGAACTTGTGCTCCCCAGGCTTGGACCATGAAGGAGAGCTGTTCCCAATGTGATGTACTTTATGTGCATGCAGACCTGATTTATATCTCTTCCAACAAGCTGTTCTCTGCTATCATGAGCCAACAGGACCCATAGGGTGTTACAAGACATATTACATGCAGCCAAGAGCTTTAATCCCCCTGGGGGAGTGATTACAAACAACTACACACATCCCAGAGTTGCTTAATCACTGTTAAGAAATTTCTTTATAATCTGAGTAAATTACTTTAATTACTTGCAACTACCAATTAGCGTTTGAATGCTTCCACTGAGAAGTTTGCAGGCATTAATCTGCTCCCTTGGAATGTTAAATCACCGGCTGGAAGATGGCTTTCGTCTCTGCAGCAAGCAGCAGTCTGCCAGGCCGAAGCAGAGGCTGCCAGCCCTTGCCCGGCATGCTCCTCTCCAGCTGCCTGGCCCCAGCTTTTAGTTATTTAGTAGTAGCTTGAAAGGAAAGTTCAGTCCTCCAACGAGTCTTAGCAGCTGGATAAAATCACAGATCCTGGAAAAAGGAGGTACCTATTGAAACCCACAGCAAGCACTGAGGCTCTGATTTCCACAGGCAGGGTAAGACCCTATGGTCCAAAATGCTCCCGTGACCCAAAAAACTCCCTACCTGGGAGCTTGCATACGCAGACACATCAAACAGCCCCTTCACTCACCTACCCATACTTGCAGGCCCAGCTCATTTCCTACTCGGCAGAGCCTCACAGCTCCAACACGTGTTTTCTCAAACCCCATGTGCTGGACGATGTGGTTTTCAC